CTAAACCCTAAACCCTATACTCCTATACTCTAAGCCCGAAACACTAAGCCCCTACTTGAGCTACGAAGAGACCATTGAAAGTTGCGGTGATGCCCTTTGCAAAGAGGTCGCCTGACCAGGGAGCCCAGAGTTGCAACAATAGCTTCTTCGACCATACGAAGTAAGTCCTGCTACGTCTTCCTGTACATGCCAGGGACCATATATAGATAAGCTAATAAGTATATATATATATATTATATACATATATATATATGTGTGTGTGTAAATGTATATGCACATGTACGTGTACATGTATATGTATATGTGTGAGGGTACATGTGTACTCTATTATGTCATAAATACCCATAAGCAAGCGTGGGCACGCATGCACACATGCATGAACAAATAAAGATAAATACATAACATGCATACATGCATACATATGCATACATACAGAAAACGTCTCGCGATCGTCTTCTTAGAGGCCCTAATATCCTTAATTATGGAATATACCTTGAATTATAATAGGAAACAAAATAAGATTCAAGGTATATCCCTTAACTAGTTGTTCTCTGGAGACTAGCAAGTAGGTTCGCTGGCTCTATAGCTTTGAAAACAACGTGTCGGGTTTGCACCACCATCGTGCCGTCCGTCCGAATGTAGCTATACCCTAGCTCTGCTGAGCCTACAACTTGCTAAGGCACGGTGATGTCTACGTGTTGAGTTGTAAGCCCATCTTGACAGTCCATGGAAGGCATGCAACCCTGAACTCCTAATCCCTCGACCCCTGGCCCAATATAAGGGCTTTGACGAGCAGAATAGGGGTTTGAACAAAATTATGCTAGAATTTTGCCAAGGACCCCAATAAGAATTGTATAGGTACTTGCTCAGGCTGCTTCATGGGGAAATTTCTAAATTTCGGTCCCTTTCTGCGGTCCCCAGTATTGTACGGCACCCTTATAAAAAGGGCCCCAACAGAAACCCTAATTTAGGAAAACTCGCCACATGAGTACTGCTGGTTGTGACAGCCTCTTTGCTGTACGTCGGGAAAGGGATCCACCACGCCATCCAAAATCCTGGGCTCTTGTTGAGGGATTTAGTGTAAATTATTAAAAAGGAAACCTCATTATTTACTGTAGGTCCCTATTATGGCAACTTAAATAAGATCCCTAAACCCTAAACCCTAATGAGCCCAGAATCAGGTGCTGCGTGTTCTCTGGGAAAACGGTCCCATAGACTCCAGCCACTGCGGTGCCTTGAGGTGGTTTAGGGTTTAGGCTTTAGGGTTTAGGGTTTAGGCTTTTGGGTTTAGGGTTTAGGCTTTTGGGTTTAGGGTTTAGGGTTTTGGGTTTAGGGTTTGGTGTGCTCAAAACAACTTCCATGGGAAATCAGCCTTTATGCAATGTAATGGGGCCGACGATCGGTGTAACGGATTGTGAGGTTTATGATGAGTCTCTAAGCAGTAGTAATCTATTGCTTGGGGGTAGTTGTATTGGGCATCCTACCACTTTGAATCAATATTAGGACTGGCATAGTACAGCCCACACACTCACGGTAGGTCCAGTATTAGGCTCGCCTTTTCCGAACATCGCACATGATGCAGGCCAAGTGCCGTAGGACATGCCATAGATGGACAGTTTTGGTGCACCCACTGCGCGGCGGAAAAGGTCGATATCCTGGACCAGGTCCATTGTTCCACCAAACTGAAGTGCATTGTACTCCTGAGTTCTTGCGCTAGGACTCACGGGGTTCATTTGATTTATTCCCGGGGTTTGCTGAGCTGTTCCAGGACCATCTGCCAACAACGTGTTTATTATTTTGTAGGACTATCCTATCCAAACCCAAAATAACAACTGACTTTAAACCGTGGCCCTGCTTGGGTGAATGACCGTAGTGTTTGTCATGTTTCAGACTGCACGACCGTAAACCCTACACCCTAATACTCCCAATCTTGCCGGTGCAAGACCTGCTCTAGCATCTAACCCCCCCAAAAAAAACCCAACCCTAAACGCTGAACCCCAAGTCCTGAATCCTAAATCCTAGACCACCGCTAATCCTAAACACAAAGAAGTCCATGACAAGGTGCGCGCCCGCTTGGTGACTGTAGCTTGAATCCTCACCACACAAGGCAAGCAGATCCGATGATAAAGCGATCGTTAGGGGGATTGCGGCCCGAAGCTCGACCAACCCCTAAACCCAAGGTGGCATCACCTGTTGTCTGAAACTCTCTTCAAAGGCCGGGATATCGATAGTATAGGATCCAGCAAGTACGGAAAAATATCGCTGAGAGCCCAAGGATCGTGCAGCTTCGTAGCAGTAGCTGAACTCCAGTTTCATCAGCCGGTAGTACCATCGTACCAGGGTCTCGTTGAATGCCATGATGCCTCGGCTTCACTCTTCTCGGACTCTATGGCATGGCTTTAAGGGTTTAGGGTTTAGGGTTTTTAGGAGAACGGTGCTTCGGGTTTATTGCTTATGGTTCTTGGAACTACGTAAGGCTTCTGGATTCTATGGCATGGCTTTACGGTTTAGGAAAACGGTGCTTCGGGTTTAGGGCTTATGGTTCTCTTGGAACTAAGGGTCCTTTACGAATAAATCCTTATCGCCAAAAGAACCCTATGACTCAAGATCCTAAGTGAGGGTCAGATGCGGATCTGCAGCTTATCTGGAACCCAATGGAAAAGACTAGGACCGTTCTATCGTAGAAATTCGTTCGATCAACCGGCCACCCTAAACCGGGTAAACCCATTTCAGGCTCTAAAGGCCGGGATCGAGACCTCGCAACACTGCATCCACCCCTCCTACATGCACTTGATTACCTGCGAGATAGTCTTTTATCCCACCATTTTCCATGGTGCCGGATTCGGTCTGTGTCATGTCTGGCGTCCGCAAGATCTTCACGATGTAGTCCATGCTCTCATTGACTAGACTCTCCGATGTGTCGTTGTTGCCGCCCATGATCAGTTCGACGAACTTAGCTTGTCACACAGGATATCTCAGCTGTACCCTCAACCCGAAACTCTTGCTGTTTGGGACATCTGACGCCCTTCTGATGGGCTTCTGCCACAGAATCACACACTGAGGTCCTACGATGTAGCTATATCCTACTAGTAAGGGGTCCTCAAATACCACAGGCCCTTGTTGTAGTTTGAACAGGTATGTTTTACTGAACCCTTGGGTTTATACTGCATGGAAAATCGAAACATGATTCGTGCACGAAGGCGTTGGTACTGGGCTTTGTCGGAAATCAACCACTCACTTTTCTTCTCAGCGTAGGGGCCGTCCTGTTGTCCACCTGCCGGGATGCTGGAGCAGCGGTTGAAGGATTAATATCCCTAGACCCTAAACCCCTATAGGCAGCTTAGTAGCCCTAAACCCTAAACCCTAAAACCTAAACCCCTATAGGCAGCTTAGTAACCCTAAACCCTAAACCCCCTATAGGCAGCTCAGTCACAATTGGAACAGGGCTTTGGGGCTTTCTGTCTGCCCTCAGCGAAGTTCGAATCCGCACGCCGCAATGAAGGAGACCGAGTGGCTACAAAGAAGACAAACACGAAGCTGACGACATAACGGTTTAGTAGTCTAGGATCCAGGATTTAGCGTTTTTTTTGCTCAGGATTTAGGATTTTGTCCTTAAACTTAGGGTTTAGGATTTAGTGTCCAGGATTTAGGATTTGGTGCTGATTATGGTTAAGGATTCAGGATTTAGGGTCTGGGATAGACTAGTTACTACATAGATTTCTCCAACCAATCTGGGACAGCGGGCACCATTGCATTTATGCGCAATTCTACACAGTGCTAACTCCCGAAACCTGGCGATACACCGACTTATGCTGATCGATCCTTGCCTCAAGCCTACAACAGCAAGCAACCTCGGCACAACCCTATGATTATGCTCTGCATAAGACCGGTAGCCCCTAACTCCATCTACATCCTAAACCCCGGGAAGCCGAAGCCCGAAACTCGCAGTCCCCAGCCTGGCTCAAGAATGGGTTTGTGAGAATCTCATTGCACTTAATCTCCGGAAACGGGAGGATGGCCTCACCGGAGGCATACCTTTCAGGGACTTTGACTAGCGAGGCCGGAAGAAAGGGCTGCAGCTGAAGCCTGGCTAGGAGTTAGGATTAGGGGGACCCTTGGGGATATAGACCCTGTCAATAAGGTCCCCTTTGCACCTTGCTACCAGCACCAGCCGGACAAGTCTGAGACACCAAATCCACCTCTGGACCCGACGAAACCCTGCAGCCACATAACAGACATCCGAAGCGCATGCCTCTCTTTGAGGTTTAGGTCTGGGGCTTACCTAGACCCCCTCACCTGTTTAAGGACTTGTATAAAGGAAACATAATAAGGAACCCCAAAAAGGGAGGTTCTTAAGGGTCCAGGTAGGGTCTGGGATTGAGGGTTACCAGGGACGTTTAGGGTAAATAGCCTGGGCTCTTGATCTTGCTTAAGTTACTACCAGAATGGGGAACTATAGTAAATAATATGGTTTCTTTACTATGGTAACTTAAATAAAAATCCCCTAACAAAAACCCAGTAGCAAGTCTGGTTTTGGAAACTCCATGGAGGACTCGACAACATTGTAAGACTCAGCATAGCCTAAACAGAATGTCAGAAGACCATCGCGCTGCCATGCTGCGGGGGGAACAAACCAAAAACCCTAAACAAAACCCTGAACCCTGAATCTTGACGCCTAAACCAAAGCCCACACCCCACTTGAGCCACAATTGAGCTTAGGTGTCGGTGTGGCTAAAGCTGGGCAATAGTTGTCGTCGTGGAAGTAGCAATTAGTCCCTGCCGATAGTCTACATTGTAGTTCCTTTTTGGGATTACATTATAGGTTAAACCCACAACAAGGAAATACAATGGAGACTCTAAGTAAACCCTAAACCGAGCATCTGCAAATGCTGCGCCAAGAACACAGGCTTAAGCCCAGAGACTCCAATATCCCTTTGGAATATACCTTAAATGATAATAGGAACTCTAATGAGATTTACGGGTTTTTCCTTAATTAAGGGATATTGGAGTCTCTGGAAGTCGTGACTTCACACGGAGCCCAGAAACTCCAGACGCCTGCCGAACACCCGCAGAATTTACTATGGATCTTTAGGGCATAAAACAAGCTGGGCTTCCGGGTGTTAAAGTTAGGCTTTTAGGGCTGAGAGTATTTGGGTGTAGAATCTTATGCATTAAAGCTTTGGGGGGTTCACGGTTTTAGTCGCTTTTTGCGTTCTGGGTTCTGGAGTTTACAAGATTCAAGCCACCCGGTCTGGAAATTCGGGTCCCTTTCCAGGTCCCCAAAATAGTCCGGCACCCTTACAAACAGGACCCTAAACCGGAACCTATTTTAGAGAACAACCCCTTTGGATGCCTTACAGTGCCCATACAAACCCTAGAGATATCCTTATGGATCCCGTTAAAGGAGCCCCTACAGGAACCCCTAAACTGGGACCCAAAGAAGGGACCCGAAGTTTCGAGAACTGCACAATCCCAAAGGGTCCAAGTACCATTATAGTAGCTACTTAGTAGCCATTTCGGCCCCAAAAGTACATACTATACTAGTACTTGGACCCTTTGCGAATGAAGCCCAGTGGCTTGAAAGGGCACGGAGGTGTGTTGTTCCACTCGTCCCCTTGGTGACTCTGCTTGCCTAATGCTGAAAACTGCATAGGGCGCGGCTCGGTTTAGGGTTAATGTAGGGGCCTTAAAAAAATCTGGAGTAAGGCTTGGGGGTCCTTTATGGTAAAATTATAGTAAGGAGCCCCAATGAATATTATTGATTATTGGTAATGATTTGGGGTTCTATATAAAGCGTTTACTGGTGAGGAGGGTTGACCGTCTGATACCCACTAAACCCTACACCAAAGCCTGAACCCTCAAACTCCTGATTAGTTAAACCCCAAAATCAACCCTCAACTAAACCCTAAACCAAGCAACAAAGCCTTCGAACCCCAAAAGCAAGGCAGAGGCTCCCAAGCCGACGCCCCGCTGGCTGATGGCCCAGACGTCGAAGTCAGCGCTCAGCGTGCTTTCGTTTCCTGCTCTTACCCAGAGAGCTCTGGGGGTTTCGAGTTAGGGCTTAAGGCTTTTACGGCTTATAGGGTTTAGGGTTTAGATTAGTAGGGAATGGAGTCTCTCTAACTGACTGGTTCCCAGAGAGCCCAAATACCCCTTAAATAAGGAATATACCTTAAGTTATAGGGGCCTTAACATCATGATTTTCGTTTCCTGCGCAGAGCGGGGCGAAGGACTAAACCCAAGACCCCCCGGGAGGAGCCAAAAAGTACAAGGGATGTTCCTTTAAGGGCTCCTTTAACAGATCTATTGGGGGGTTAGGGTTTATGGAGCTTTTAGGGCTTTGAAAGTAGATCCCTTAAGGGGGTGTCTATAAAGTACCCTTTAGTTTTTTGGAGTCCCAAATTAGGGGATCTACTTTCTGGATCCTCTCGAGGGTCTGGGACGTTCACAGTCTCGAAGAATGCCAAATGAAATGCTTCTTCACGTAGTTAGGAGCAATTAAGAAAGAAGGTGTTCTCAAGCAAAACGCTGCTTTAAAGCAAGAAGATTCAGAATGACATCTACTCGAGGTTGCAACATGTTGCATCTCTAATACTTGTCAATCAGTGGGGCGCTTTGCGGGGATGGCCGGGTTCAGGGTTGAGGGTTTGGAGGTTTAGTCTCATGACGTCCAGTGACCATGCTACGGTTGCTGAAACTTAGGGCCCCTTATGATGGCCTACATCGAACAAGCCTCGTGTTCTGAAGCTCCCATGTTCCTACGGAACCACCACCGCCTGCCTTTGCCATTGATGTCCATCGCAGCGTTCAGCAAGCAGTTGTTATCACTGCCTGCTCCCGGGCTTATGCAGAGCGACGGTTTTTTTTTAAAGTGCAATAGCCCTCTTTTCGAGAGAGCGACGGTTTAGGGTTTAGGGAGAGTCTTCTCGCTGTAACCCCCAAAAATCCTTACTTAGGGCCGCCAAAACCTACTTTTTGTGCAGGGTCCCTATGAATTCCATATTAGGGTTTATTGTCATGAGAACCTCCAAGAAAAGGTAGGTAATGGCAAAAGTTTAGCTTTAGGATCTAAACTAACCTCCAAAGCCTGAACAAGCCCAAGCAAGCTGCGTTTCCCAGTCCGTTGCGGCAGCCCTATACTACTATGTACGTTACATTGGCCTCAAAGTACCTAAAAAAGGACTACTGAAGTATATACTGTTTGGGCACACGGAGCCTCAGGGAAAGCGTAAAAGCGCAGTGGAAGAACCAAACAACCCGAAACCCAGCCAGGTCGACGCGAGGCTGGAGCACTAGCGGGCTGGGTCCTTTCCATTCAGGGTGTGCTTGGGCCTTAACCCTAAACCCTAAACCCAAACCCCGAAACCATAAACTTAAACCCTAAACCTTTCAGGACGAAGCGCTGCAGGGCGAAACCAAATCCCCATTGGGGGGATACAAGGGCTACTATACGGGTTTAGGGTTTAGGGGCCTTACTAATTAGAATAGGGTTCAATACGGGTTTCTAGAAGGGATCTATGAGGGTTTGGGGTATTGAGGATCATGGGACTTAAGTGCTTTAAGGGGCTCCTTAAAGTGTTGCCATAAGGGATTGAGAAGGGCTTGGGGTATTAATGATCATGGGACTTAGATTTCTAAGGGTTCCTTAACAGGCTTCCAGAAGGGGTCTATAAGGGTTTAGGGGTTGAAGGATCATGGGACTTAGTAACTCGAGGGCTGCAACAAGGTATCTAGACTTGTACATAGCTTCGAGCCGTAGGTACACATAACCTAACCGACTAAGTCCCATGATCCTCCAAGTAAGGCTCTAACTATTGAGCCGGACGTCCCCAAAACGAGACCCCCGAACCCCAACGGCCGGAAGAGCCCCACATGCCCAAAGCCAACACCTTCAGAAATTTAAATCCCTACAGCACCTGAGGCATCCTCTACAAAAGCGCACCAAAAAAGACCTCTGACTTTATGCAAGCGTAGCTCTCATGGAAAGTTGAATGCCTGCACAAGTCCTTCCAAAGAAACCCCAATGAGTTTCAAGCCCTCCAAGTAGCCGTTAGAGGTTTTACGGAAATCCTAAAGCCCCAAGTCCCAAGCCTTAAACCCTAAACCCTCAAACCCCCTACCCTAAACCCTAAAATCCCAAAGCCTAAACCCCTAAAACCCTAAACCCTAAAACCCCAAAGCCTAAAACCCTAAAACCCTTAAACCCTCAAACCCTTAAACCCTCAAACCCTTAAACCCCCTACCCGCTGAACCCCCGGAGGCCTGGACCGCCACAGTGGCCCAGGAGTGGCCCATGTTTGGCAGGCTGATTCATTGCTGCGATGCCCTTCACCTGGAGGTTCGGGCTTTAGGGGTTTAGGGTTTAGACGGTTTAGGGTTTAGGGTTTAAACGGTTTAGGGTTTAGGGTTTAGACGGTTTAGGGTTTAGGGTTTAGACGGTTTAGGGTTTAGGGCCAGGGTTTAGGTTTTAGGAATTGGGGTTTAGGTTTAGCCAGCACTGCACCTTGCTAGAGGCCTCATGGTCCTTCAAAGTGGGTACACGGCTCCAAGAAGGGGTAATATAGGGGCCTTAGTAGTTGGAATAGGGTGTTGGGCTCCTTTATATGGTATCCTAACAGTAATATATGGGTAATTATTTAGGCTTCTATATTGGTTGGGGGGTGTTGGAGGGTCGAGGGTTTAGGGTTTGGAATTTGGAGCTCACGCATTAACGGTGCCTTTCACCTGAATGTTTTTTGGTTGATAAGGTTTCAATAACGGCCGTATACGGGTCTCCTTAAAGTTTCACGACAAGCTTCCTAAATTTTAGATTTGGAGATCTGTGTTTTCGGTTTAGGGCTTACCTGGACCCTTGAAAACCTCGCTGTTTGGGGTGCCTTATTATATTGTCCTTACACAAGTCGTTAAGCAGGTAGGTTCTTTAGAGTCTAAGTAGTTCTATCGGTGATTCAAGCCCAGGGCGCCCAAGATTGAAAGTTGAGGGTCCTGGGGGTTGCTGTAGACCGTTAGGACTCCGAAAGCCTACACCCAAAACCCCCTGGACGGGCCCTTAGAGCCTCCCAGAAAACCTTGAAGAAGCTCACTTTTATTGGGGCTCCTTCTTCTGATTTCCTTTTCCTTCTATGATATGTCCGTAAAGAGGGTAGGTTCTTTGAGGTCTAGGTCAACCCTAGACCCCAAACCCTAAACCCCTAGACACCCTGGCGTACCCTAGACCCCAAACCCTGAACCCCTAAACCCTAAACCCTAAACCGACCCCAAAGAACCTACAAAGGGAGCCTTCTTAAGCTTCTTAAGGGTCCAGGTAAGGTTTAGGGCCGGCTTTGCGTTCGGGGCTTCGGCTTTAGTATTTATAGGTTTAGGGGTTTATAGGGGTTTAGGGGATTAGGGGTTTGCGGTCTAGGGTTTATAGGTTTAGGGTATAGGTGTAGGGCTTAGGGCTGCGGGGCTTTGCAGTGAAAGGTTTAAGGGTTCAGGATGGTTCAGGGTTGCTTCTGAAGGCGTCCCAGAGACTCCAATATCCCTTAATTCAGGAATATGCCTTAAATTATATACAATAGGAACCCTGATAAGATTTGAGGTATATTCCTTACTCTGGGGCTACGCGGTTTAAGCTACACCAGCCGGAGACTCAATTGAGCTTCAGGTGTGGGGGTCGGGTGTGCAGTCTGGGTCCCAGAGATTCTAAAACCCTGTAGTCGAAGAATTTTCATCGTATTAAGGTGCCGAACAAGTGCCCAAACGGTCCGAAGGAATGTAAGGTTCCTCTGTAATTTCAGGGATATATTCCTTAATTCAGGAGCTCTCTGGGTAGACAAGCACCAAAACTCGACACTACTTCCAAGACAATGATCACCACCCAAGCACCAAGGAAACAGCGGCCACAATGCCGAGGCACGCGCAGGCAGACGTACGGAACCGCCTCGTACGGAGACATGTCCGGGTCATGCACCAGGGGCGTCTTCAGCCAGCCCACAGCGACTTTTTGTCCTTCAGCTTCATATCCTGACCATAGAATCCCCATCCTAAGCCCGAAACCCTGAGCTTGCAGCAAAGAGGAAGGAAGCACTAGGGAGTAAGGGAAACAGCAGCTTCCAGTGCCCAATGTGCAGGGTTTCAAATTTAAAGCGTCTCCCGAAATACTAACCTCCCCTTTGGAGTCCTGTGTTCTCCAACCACGTATCCCAGATCAAAACGTCGGGGTCTGGATCCGTGAAAGACCACTTTGCCGACACGGCGTTGTCCTGGAAAGCTGGCCGGGTAGTGAGCACACCTAAACCCTAAACCCTAAAGGCCCTAAACTCGAAACCCTAAACCCTTTACTAAAGGCCCTAAAGCCTAAACCCTAAAGGCCCTAAACCCGAAACCCTAAACCCTTTACTAAAGGCCCTAAAGCCTAAACCCTAAAGGCCCTAAACCCCTTAGAGTTCAAGAGAGACCGGATTTAGGGTTCAAGGAATCTCGAGATCAGCTGTTGGCGAATAAGGGGCCGCAGCCCTAAGCGCCAAACCCTCAATTCCAAACCCTAACCCTAAGGCTCAAAATAGCCCAAAAGCCTTATGTAGTACTGGTCTTGGGCCCAAAAGCCTTGAAATATGAGTCCTTAGAGCCTTAGGGTAAACCCTGAACTGTTCGAGAGGCTTCCTGTCTCAGATTTGGTGTCCGTAGCTCTCAGATCTACTGCTGCGACAAGACGCCAAGTCCGTTAGCAACCCTTAACCCTAACACCCAAACCCCAACGCCCAAATCCTAAACATGGCATTCCGTAACTCCTGAATCCTACATCTAAATCCCAAACGCAGGTATTCGCACTGCCTTCGGGTTGCTTCGGAAGTATACTCTAGGTGGCTCCACCAAATCGTACAAGGGGCTTGGATCTAATTGTTGGAATACCTAGACCCAAAAGAACCTACCTTTTTAAGGACCCGTATAATAAGGAAAACAGAACAAGTGACCCTAAAAGGTGAGGTTCTTACGGGTCCAGGTAATTTGTTTAGGGTTTAGGGTGTATAGCAATAATAAGGAGCGCCAAGGAAGCAACTTGGCAATGCTTCCGACCCCTGCATGATTCGCAAGTGTGATCCTCCGAGACCCCCCTAGACGGACTATCCCAGCCGCGTTTCTAATACGTACTAAAGCCTAAAGATCCGCCCTAACCCCCCTAGACCCCTAAGCCCCAAACCCTACACCCTCTAGACCCTCTAAGCCCCAACGCTAAATTCCATCCCTTAGACCATCTTACGTTAAACCCTAAACCTTTAACCCCTAAACCCTAGACCCTAAACTCTAAACCCTCGAGCCTAAATCTTAAACCCGAGCCCGGCCCCCTGTTTCTCAAAGCTCCTCTTTGGAAGCTTCGCCGTCCGGCTTCATCATCTTCTGGCCTGCAGTGGTCATCCCAGTACTTCCTGTTGAGTACTACCAGTCTTATTGTTACTAGAACGGGTGCTATTGTTAGGATCATTAGTTCTATTACTAAAGTACTCTAATATGAAAAGGTCCCCTGTTATCTAAGGTCTGTTCCTTCATTAAGGGGTAATTGGGAGCTCTGGGAGTCGTAATCTCATCTAAACCCTAACCCCTAAACCCTAAACCCCTAAACCCCTAAACCCTAAACCCCTAAACCCCAAAACCCCCTAACCCCTAAAACTCCCTAACCCCTAAAACCCAAAACCCCTAAAACCCCTAAAACCCCAAAACCCCTAAACCCCCATAGTCGCAATTCTCATCTTCCGGCCTCGGAGCTGCCGCAGGGAGAGGTCCTCCTCGGGATCCTGGTCGCAAAGGTCCTCCGGGAGCTAAGGCATCGAAAGTAGACATGGGTTTAGGGGTCTAGGGGCTTAGGGGGTTTAGGGGTTTAGGGGTTTGGGGGGTTTAGGGGTTTAGGGTTTGGGGTTTAGGGTTTAGGGTTTAGGGGTTGAGGGTTTAAAGTCATATAAGGGCAGGAAAAACCAAGAAGAAGGTTCCTTTAGAGGGCTACTGAGGAAAGCTTCATGGAATTTTTTGCAGGGAGTAAGTTTACAATCATAACAACACCAATGAGAGTAACGTAAAGGCCTGAATGCCTGGAGCAGAACCCCTCGAAAGGTTTTCCTATACGAGTGCTATGGGATTCTATATGGTTTACCATTATAGCCACCCAGATGAGAGTGATACTAGGGCCTTATAGTGATTAAACCAGGGTTCCTCTAAATGGTTTCCTATAGGGGTATTATGGGATCTCATCGGGTTTAATGCCACATCAAAACCAAGATGAGGGCCTTGTTGATTAAAGCAGGGCTCCTTTGAAGGTAATGTTGCTATCAAAAACGATCTCTATGACTGTGATAACGAAACGCTGAAACTTACAGAAAAGGTCATGATGCCTGTAGGTGACTAGCTTTGAGAGACGGGTTTCTTCAGGTTTCCGTTCCTTCCTAGGACGCTGGTGAGTGCGACCCTAAACCCTAAACCCTTATGTACACCTTAAACCCTAAACCATGAAACCGTCTGAAACCCTAAACCCTTAAACCCTAAACCCTGAAACCATCTGAAACCCTAAACTCTTAAACCCTAAACCCTGAAGCCATCTGAAACCCTGAACCCTTAAACCCTAAACCCTTACACCCCAAAGCCGTGGCATTCTGGGACTGCAGGGCTCCAGGAAAGGATCAGGAGACTGGGTAACTTGTGCTAGCAACTACTAAGTTTAGGGGTTAGGCTTCAGAGTTGAAAATGATGATAATTTCTTATAGCACCGAAACGGACTTACTAAGCCCCGTGATAAACCCTTACCGGGGCCCCATGGATCTTTCAAAGGAATGCTGGAAAGGAACCCTTAAAATGGAAGCATCACAAAGAAGCCTTTAAAAGGAGCCGTGAACCCGGCGCTTGAAAAACTCCGGCTGCTCGGCGCCATCCTGCTCCAAACCTCTCCTAAACCCCTTATGGTTGAGGGCTTACGGTGTAAACCCCAACCCCCTAATAATCCCCACAACCCACTTCGAAACCTCTCCTAGACTGTATCACGACTCTTAAGGCAACCTAACCCCTTAAACCCTCGACTCCTAAACCCAATGAGCCGGAAACCCTAGACCTTACACCCACGGCCCAGAAACCCTTTGAACCCTAAACACGCCCTTCATCCGCCATACCCTAAACCCCAAACCCTAAACCCCAAACCCTAAACCCCAAGCCCCAAACCCTAAACCCCAAACTCCAAACCCCAAACCCTAAACCCTAATACACCAGAAATCCGGAAGCCCTAAACCTTCAGGCTCTTTGATGTAGGGCAACTCGGGTCCTCAGGAAGTGCATCGTCCACGACGCCGGCGACCCCCACCTACAGTTGCACTGGATCCAAACCCACAGAAAGTTAAGGGTTTAGGGACTTAGGGTTTAGGGTTTAGGGATTTAGGGATTTAGGGTTTGCGGGTGGGGTCTCCAGTCTACTGGGTTTCCACGAACTCTGAACCAGGGCTTTCGACTGAAGGAGTATATAAGCAGCAGAAGAACCGAAGTGCGCACCAACAAGAAATGCCTGCATCTGCTGAATACCCCAGACAGGGGAGCAGGCAGTTCGAATACATCCGAGTCGCAAGCCAGAAGGAGATTGCAGGCAGAATGCGCGCCATCTCCGAAACAAGGGAAGGACTCTTGGTCGTCTTCCGTATTTCTTGAGCCGGCGCATTTCGCATGTAGAGATTCACGTTGCATTGTTCTAGAAGTTTCCAGTGCCGTTCGAGATCCCGGTTCTCGGTACTTAGGGGTTAGAGGTACCCAGAGAACCAAATATCCCTTAATTAAGGAATATACCTTAAATCATAATATTAAGGCCCCTATAATTTAAGGTATATTCCGTAATTAAGGGGTATTGGGTTCTCTGGGTACTTGTTGAAGAGACTTTGCCCACCTGAAGCCTTTTCTCCTCCATGCTGGCCCCAAGGCCCCCGCAAGTTCTACAAAACTCGACAATCAGGTGAACAACCCCGCTAACCCCAAATCCTAAACCCTAAAGGCCCTAAACCCTAAACCTCTAAACCCTGAACCTCTTAACCCTAAGCCTCTAAACCCTAAACCCCTAAACCCTAAACCCCCAAAGCCCCTAAACCCCTAGGCCCGGAACTCTTTCACTCAAGGCACGATGACCCAGAGAACCCAATACCCCTTAATTAAGGAATATACCTTAAATTATAGGGGCCTCAATATTATGATTTAAGGTATATTCCTCAGTTAAGGGATATTGGGTTCTCTGGGGACCTCCCAGACACTTCGGGACCTCGGAAGTCTTAGGCAACTCCCGAGGCTGATCGTCAAGGCACAGCGCGCTTGTCGTAGTTGGCGCTCAAGATACCTTAGGGGCTTATACCCATAGGCCCCTAAGTAGTTCCCTTTTGGGGATTACCTTACAGGATTCTAAATATAAACCATAAACAGGGGCCCCCCCCTAAGTAGTTCCTTTTTGTGGTTTCTATTTCGAATCCTATTTAAGGTAATCCCAAAAAAGGAACTCTAAACCTTAAACCCTAAACCCTAAACCCCGTAAACCTTAAACCTATAAGGTACTCCCAAAAAAGGAACTACTTGGGGACCTTAGGGGCTTAGAGGGACTTCGGGGCTCAGGTCCCAAGTTGCACTCTGCGCCCAAATTAACCACTGCCCTGAACCCGCACACCCTAAACCCCGAAAGCCCTAAACTCCTAAACCC